GGATTTTTGAGTACTCTGTATTGTATTTTTCTTTTCTCTGTTGTTTATTTCTGCTCTTGTATGTATTATTTCTTTCTCTTTGGGAATTTCCCCTTTTTTTAAAATTCTTAAAAGACACGAATATTTATCAGAAATACAGTTTTTGTTTGTTTTTGAGGAGGCTGTTTCCATGACACACTAATCCTATATTTCAGAAATCACCAGGACATGTCCTTATTTGATACTAGCAATTGAAAAATTGTGCTTTTTCATTTTTTTTCTAAGTCAGACATTAAACTTAAAAATTTTCAGCCTTTTTTAATGATGCTCATAGGCATAAAAAACTATACATTTCCTCAAATTATTATTTTTGCCTTCCACAAATTTTGATACATATCATTACTAGTATTCAATTCTAAATATATTTTAATTTCCATTATGTTTTCTTGACTCATACATTATCTGGAAATATTTTAATTTCCGGTCATAAGGGGCTTAAATTATCTTGTAACTTACTTCCAATTTAATTGTGGTCAGAGAATATACTGTGTGTCATAGGAATAATTGGAAATGTGTTGAGAATATTTTATGGTCTAATTTGAGACCATTGTTGTAAATGTTCAGTGGATCTTGACGATAACACGTAATTCTTACTGTTGGATGCATGGGCCTATAAATATCCATGAAATTGAGCTTTGAATGTAATTTTTGTCTGTGTACTAATTATCAAGAGAAGAATGTTGAAAACTCTTGGTATCATATTTATACATTTTTGAGGTTCTGTTAACTTCCATTTTATGTCATTTAAGGTTATTTTATTGGGTGCATATATGATGCCTATTTATTGAAAATTTTTATAACTAAGCAGTGACTTTCTTTATAAATGCTTTTTGTCTCAAAATTGGATTTTCTAATACTGTTTCTCTTTTTGATCAGTACATGTCTAATGTGTCTTCATTATTTAAATTTTTTCCATGTTTGAACATTTTATACTTTCTTAGAAATAACATTTAGCTGATTTAAAAAAAATCTGACAGGGGAGCCTGGATGGCTGAGTCAGTATGGCTGAGTCAGTTAAGTGTTAGACTCTTGATTTCAGCCCGAGTCATGATCTCATGGTTCATGAGTTCAAGCCCCCATCCTCTGCACTGGCAGTGCAGAGCCTGCTTGAGAGTCTCTCTCTCTCTCTCTCTCTCTCTCTCTCTCTGCCCCTTCCCACTCTGTCTCAAAATAAATAAAACACATTATGACAATCTGTCTTCTAACTATGAATTATATTTATTATTACTGATATATTTGAACTCACTTTTACCACCTCCTATTGTGCTCTCTCTTTCTGGTGTTCTACACTTGTTTATGTCTCATCTCTGACCTTATTTTTGATTATTTTTTTCTTATCCAACAACCCCCATCCCATTCTCCTGCCCCATACTTGTAAGGATTATATATACCATTTACCACTCTCTTCTGGTTTCCCTTATAAACTTGAAGTTTAAAATTAGTTTCTGAACTGCTTGCATAGTAAGGATCTTACTGTTTCTTATCTCTGATTATCCTTGTTTGGGCTTAGGTGCTAAATTCAAGATTTCATTTCTAGCTTAAAAAAAAGTTTCACAATTTCAGTATTCTTACTGTTTTATACACAAAGATTTTTAAAATTTGTCTAAATCCTTACTAATTGCTTTGTTCACCATTCTTTGTTGTATCTTACTTTGTGAATCATTTTCTTTCTTTTGATGTTTGTCATTTCGAAGGCCGTTTTTTTTTTTTTTTTTTTTTGAGAGTCAGAGGTGTGGTATCACAGTTTATGGTTATCTAAAAAGTCTTTATTTCACCCTTGTTCTTCACGGTCTTCCTGTATATGTAATTCTAGAGTTACAGGTATTTTCCTTCAACATTTGATCATTACATTAGATTAGATTCTGGCTCCTCTTAGTGTGAGGTCAGTCTGAATTTCACTTATTTAAATATTATTTGTGTATGTGTGACTGTTTTTAAGGTCTTGTTTTAAGGTTTTTAAATGATCTTTCATATTTAGCAATTTCATTTTAATAGTTCTGTCTTTGTTATTTTGATTGTAATTCTTTGGGATTACTGAATCTGAAAATTGTGTTTCACAAATTCAAAAATTCTTACCCATTCTGTCTTCAAATATTAGATCTCCAGTTTTTGTGTATCAGCTTTATTTTTACAATATCAGTAACATCTGTTAGGCTCTATCCCTCTATCCTCTGTGTCTTAATTTATTTTTTCAATTTTTTGAAATCTCCCTATCATTTCTTTATAATTATGGATAAATTCTTTAATTCTCCTTTCCAACACGTTAATTATCTTTTCATCTATGTCTAATATGTATTAGGAGCACTTGGGTGGCTCAGTTGGTTAAGCATTCAACTTTGACTCAGGTCATGATCTCACAGTTTGTGAGTTCAAGCCCCGCTGACAGTTCAGAGCCTGGAGCCTGCTTCAAATTCTATGTCTTCTTCTTTCTCTTCCTCTGCACCCCCAAACCTCTCTCTCAAAAACAAACATTAATAAGTATGTATATCCCATTTGTGAAATTTAAGACTTTGATAGTTACATATTTTATTTCCAGTATTTTATTTGGCTCTACCTACAGTTTGGTCATTTTTGGTAGTCTCTTTTATGTAATTTTTGACTCAAAAATTTCTTTAAATGTATTAGATGGAGAATTTTATATTCTGAATCAGGTAATTCTGAATATCTGAAGTCCTTGGTAGGTTTATATTTTCTTTTTTTCCTTTTCTGACTTTTGCTCTTTGTTATCTTATGTTTTCACTTGCTTAACAATTTTTATTTTGAGCTCATTAAAAAAAAAAAAAACTTAGTCTATGGGAGGTCTTGGGGCTTAGTTTTGGCATCTTCACCTGGAAAGAATGACATCTGTTTGTGCCATACACGTGAAAGCATTAACAACTAGGATACAATTTGATTTACTCTCTGGAGTACAGTTTTCTCCAATTGTACCCATGAGTGAGCAGACCTGTGATGGTGGCTTGTAAACTGTTACACCCCTGGTAATCTGACTTCATTGTCAGCACTACAGCTGTAACACAGGGAGATCGGTTTCCTTGTAGGCTCACTGTCCTGGGAGAGCGCATTTTCTAGCCCCCTCTCATCGATGTGCAAGTCTGGACTCCCTTGGCAATCCAGTGAAGCCTGTACTTCCTTCTTGGAATATTTTTGAGTGCATGAATCACATGGGGTTACAAATGATGACAATTATATTGAAGTACAGTTGCTGTAGGCTAAATGTGTCCCCTCCAAATTCACATATTGAAAAATACACGCAGTGTGATATTTTGGAGGTGATGTCTTTGGTGACTAGGTCATGAGAACAGTGGCATTAGTGCCTTTATTAAAGATGTCCCACTGAGGGCCCTTGCTTTCTGCTGTGTGAGGACATAGGCAAATGATGAACCTCTTTTGACTTGCAAGGAGGTTCTTCCCAGCCTCCAGGAATGTGAGAAATAAGTTTCTGTTGTTTATAAACCGTGGCATTTATTGTATAAACAAGTCATGTTACAGAAGTCTGATATTTTGTTAAAGCAGCCCAAGTGGACAGAGACAGCAGTTATCAACATACTAAAAACCAAATGTGTGATATATTAATATATGTGCTTCTTTATTCATGTACCAAATAATAAGATCTGGTGACCTGTCTAGTAACTACCATAATTGCAAAAACAGTGATAACAAACATAGATATGATTTCAAGTTATCTGGAACAGCAGAAGTCTGTGATTTTTCTCGGAGGCAAAGACATGGTTATTGCTCAAACTACTGTGATTTGTTGCTTGCGTTTAATTAAAGGAAATTTTAGTTAGAGAGCTAGGAGAATAAAGATGTAATTTTCCCCCCATCCAAGTGCATGGGTTCTCTGAATTCCCTCATGAATACCTGGGGAGCCCACTGGTTTAGATACTCTGGTTTCTTTTTGTTGCTCAAAACTCTAGGGGGCGCCTGGGTGGCTTAGTCGGTTAAGCGTCCGACTTTCGCTTAGGTCATGATCTCGCGGTTCGTGGGTTTGGGGTTTGTGGGTTTGAGCCCCGCGTCGGGCTCTGTGCTGACTGACAGCTCAGAGCCTGGAGCCCATTTCAGAGTCTGTGACTCCCTCTCTCTCTGACCCTCCCCTGCTCACGCTGTCTCTCTCTCTCTCCTAGAAATAAAATTAAAAAAAAAACAACAAAAAACTCTAGGCTCCTGGTCTTTGCACTTTTCCCCCAGTTACGCTGGCTTCTCTGCCTTACAGGTCATGCTCTGGATCCAACTCAGTCTTCCTTTTCTCCTCTTTGTAAGGATTCTTTTACTTTCTCAGAGATCAACATGTTTCAAGGTTTGCTTTTGTTATTTCTGTGGGAGCTGTTTGCATTTTTCAGGGCTCTTCATTATATGAACGGAGTGGGTATACATAATTTCCACGCTGCCAAAAATAGAATCATAGGCTTCTCCCCTCAGTGTAAGATTGTAGAGGCTAGAGACTTTACTTTTTGTGCTAGTTAAACCTGCAGCAGCAGACAAAGTGTCTACATGTAATAGGTACTCAGTAAACTCAGTAAATATTTGTTGAATGGATAAATAAATCCATGAGTGCCGGACTCAGAGATTACCTCTGACTTGTCATTTTCTGGAGGCAACTCTGTGAACTGTTCAAGCAATTTTATAGTTTCAAGGTTTCAAGATGCAATCCTCCTGTGAATACTAAGTGACCTATGTTCACAGAGAATATTCTAGCTACAGATCTATATATAGAGATAATGAGTGAAGCATATACCAGGCACGGCTATATATAGATTTATCTCACTCCAGAGAGCTAGGGAGATTAGAACAGAGCTCTTATACAACTTGAGCAAGATGGTAACATTTCCTACATTTCTAATTGCTCTAATAAAATCATTTTTAAAGCACATTTTACAAGATTGTCTCTCAAACACTACACTTTAAGTACCACGCTTCTGTCTGAAGATAGATTAGTTTTCATTTTTGTTTAATATCCTAACCTCAAGGGCAGAATCGGCCAGACTCCTCGTTGCTGCTGCTTCATTCTGTGCCGCTGCCAAACCCAAGCTGACGGCTATAAATCAGACTTTAGGACAACTTTAGAACCAACGTAACCATTTCCCCAACTGTCATCATTTCAAGCTACTTTTAAGATTAAGCAAAAGCACCCGGATGTGTTAGTGACATTTTCTGTTATGAAAGCTCAAAGCCGAGTCCTTGCTATGTTTGGTCCCTACTGTAATTAGTCTTTCCTTTATAAAACAGCATCGCTCCAGTACTCCTCTGCCATTGGTTAAGAGCAAATTATCTATTGCCTTTAGCATTTCACTCACCTTTTATCTACCGAAATGTGGTGCTGAATAGGAAAAAGGACATTTTGTTCCAAATGTACTGTGTTCTCAAATGTGAAGTCTATAGACAGAAGAAAAATGGGAGTGCAAATAGAGAACCCGCAATAGAACCATTTCAGATTTATTATGTTCAGGCATAACGCACTGGGACACGCACATACACATCCATTTTAGAGTGGGGGACGGTGGAAAACTCACACATTCCTTCAGCTAAAAGGTCAGTAAAGAACCCTTTTCTCTTAGGTTATTGCCAAGTACCTCATTTCCCCCACTGCCGGGGGAGTTAGATAGGCAATATTCAGGATTAAAAAAACCCAACAAGATGGAGGGAAAAACTAGCATCATTTGCTTGGGTTGAGTTTTGGGAGATGAATAACTAATCTTTAGTAAATAGGGAGCGGTTGTTGAAAAATGAACAGGATTTGTGGATATTCATTGCAGGTTGAATTGTGTGCCCCTAAGAAATATGGTGAAGTCCTAACTTCCAGCACCTGTGAATATGACCTTATTTATAAACAAGAGTCTTTAAAAATGCAATCCAGTAAAGTGAGGTTATACTAGATTAGGGTAGACCCTAATTCAGTGACAGGTGTCCTTACCTGAAGAGGGAGATTTGGACACAGCGACCCCGGCGCTCAGAGGAGAGGCCTTGTGGAGGTGGAGGTGGAGGCGGAGACGGGAGGCATGGGTCCACAGGCATCGGAACACCGGAGATTGCCGGCAACTGTCACATGCTGAGAGACGGGGACAGCTGCTTCTGTCACCCTTGCCGATACCTCGAGTTCTGACTTCCAGCCGTCAGAACCACGAGAAGAAATGTCTGTTGTTTCAGATCCCGTAGTTGGTGGTACTTGGCTACAGCAGCTGAGGAAACCAACACAGTATTATTCAGTGAGATGCTTTCTGGATTTCAGTGACTTGTCAAAAACAATTGTCTTTATTTTTGAGTATAAAATGTATATTAAATAGTGAAATAAGTAAGATCTGGACCCTTTCTAAGTTCTGAGAATTCTCTGCCTTTCTTTTTTGTAGATTGAGATCTAATTTGACATATAACATTATACAGTTTCAAAAGTACAACATAAGGATTAGATACGTGTCTATATTGTGAAACGGTCACCACGATAAGGCTGTGAGCATCCATCACCACACATAGTGAATGACTTTTTTCCCTTTTGATGAGGATCTTTAAGATCTACTTACTTGGCAATTTCAAATATATACAGTTAGGTGTTAACTGTAGTCACCGTGCATCTGTCCCTATGACATTACGTCCCCGGGTCTTAGTGGCTGTGTAATGGGAAGCTTGTCCCCACTTCTGGCAACCACCGTCTACCCTCTGTATCTGTGAGCTCCTTCTTTCTTCCTCTTTCTCCCTTTCTTTCTGTCTTTCTCTTTTCTTTCCTTCCTTCTTCCCTTTGTTTCTTTCTTCCTTTCTTTCTCTCTTTGTTTCTCTCCTTCTTTCTCGCTTTCTCTCTTCCTTTCCTCCCTCCCTCTGTCTCATTCTTTCCCTTCCCTTCCCTTCCTCCCTGTCTCTCCTTTGCTTTCTCTCTCCCTTGCTTTCTCTCATTCTCTTTTTTCTTTCCTTCATTTCATAGCTAAGTGAGAGCATACAGTATTTGTGTTTCTCTGACTTATTTCTCTTAGCATAATGCCCACAGGATCCATCCGTGTTGTTGAAAATGGCAGACTTTCAGTGATTTTGGATAATTCTTTGTATTTATTTTGTTTTGTTGGTCTGAAACCTAAGAAAGCCAACAGATACGCCTCAAGGCCCACAGGGCTTTTTGGGTTGTTGCTACATTCCCTTCCTTTGCCCTCTTCCTATTATTAAAAATATGTATATTTTTGTTTTATAAAATCATAGGCACTATTCTTTTTGATGAATGAACACCAGCCCTCCTCACTCCTGCTTGCTTCCGGTCACCCTGCCCTCACCACTAATGGATTTACACCTTGCACGTTTGCCTACACAGAATCCCACCTATTGGAAAGGATAATGTGAACACAAACCAAAGAGAAAAAGAAAAGCTTGCACCATTTCACATGTTGTTAAATAAAAATAATGGGTTCATTCCATCAATTTCTGAAGTCTTTTGGGTAATCTGTGCATTGGCCTCTGCACTAAGGCATTATTTACTCCCTTCCAGATGTTTCCAGGCCAGGCACTGCCAGGTCTCCTCATCTCTGTCCCAGAATACTCTGGGCTTATCTCTTTGAAAGCACCACTCTTTAGTGCAATGTTTTTTTTTTGTTGTTGTTGTTAAGATTTTATTTATTTAAATTCCAGTTAATTAACACACAGTGAAATAGTAGTTTCTGGTGATGAAGTTTTGGGTTGATGGGAGGTTTGTGGGGTCTGCAGCCGTTGGCCAAGAAAGAATTCCTGAAGATGTCTTTGGTGCAAAAAGGTGATTCTGTTAGAGCATGGGGACAGGACCCGTGGGCAGGAAGAGCTGCTCTGGGGTCCTGATTCATTATATACCCTCTACTTGGGAGCGGGTCAGGGATAGAGTTAGTCTCTAAGATATTTTGGAAGCAAGGTTTCCAGGACCTTGAGGGACTAGCTGTTGCTAGGGAAGCGCCACTTGTTACCGCTCAATACAACCTCAGTCATGAGACCCTTCCGATGCGTACTGTGGGGCCATAAGCTTGGGGTAGAATGGCCAGCATACACCTTGCGGCAGTTGAGATAAAGGAAGTAGACTTAGAAGATCCTTGAGTTTGGGGATAATGTTAAGCTGAGATTCTCTGTTGCCCCTAGCAAAGTGTCGTCATAGAGGCAGCTAGGCTCCCAGAGGGGGTCGCTCTGCTGGTCTCAAGGGCTTGTCAGTGGGCCGCAGGCAGGAAGGGAATTTAATTTCTCGTTTGCCTCAGTTTCTTCCATCCCCATGGCAAGCTCTCAAACCGCATTCCTTTGTTCTTGGGGGAGCCAGGAGCGTCTGAGGAATATCACACGTACTCCACCTGGGGTGGCAGTGCCCAGTGTATTTTGCCCTTGGCTTGCCGCATGCTCCCCCATCACAGGTGTACAGTATAGTGATGCAGCACTTGGAGGCATCTCCCGGTGCTCATCACTGCGAGTGCATCCTTCTCCCCATCCCCTATTTCACCCGTCTCCCCACCCATCTCCCTTCTGGTGACCATCAGTGTGTTCTCTGGAGTCAAGAGTCTTGATTCTTCTTCCTTTTTTTTATCCCCCTTTGCTCATTTAACTGGTTTCTTTGATTGCACATGTGATTGAAATCATACGGTATTTGTCTTTCTCTGACATTTCACTGAGCATAATACTCTCTAGCTTCATCCATGTTGTTGCAAATGGCAAGATTTCATTCTTTTTTATGGCTGAGTAATATTCTATTCTATACATAACACTACACACACACGCGCGCGCACACACACACGTAGCGCATCTTCATTATCCATTCATCAGTTGATGGACACTTGGGCTGTTTCCATAATTTGGCTACTGTAGTAGATAATGCTGCTATAAACATTGAATTAGTATTTTTGTATTCTTTGGTTAAATAACCAATAGTGCAATTGCTGGATCACAGGGTGATTCTGTTTTTAACTTCTTGAGGAGCCTGCATACTGTTTTCCACAGTGGCTGTACCAGTTTGCATTCCCACCAGCAGTGCAGGAGGGTTCCCCTTTCTCCACAACCTCGCCAGCACCTGTTGGCTCCTGCGCTGTTGATTTTAGCCATTCTGACAGGTGTGAGGTGATGGCTCTTCGTGGTTTCGATTTGTATTTCCCTGATGATGAGTGATGTTGAGTCTTTTTTCATGTGTCTGTTGGCCATCTGGATGTCTTCTTTGGAAAAATGTCTACTCATATCTTCTGCCCATTTTTTAATTGGATTATTTGTTTTTTGGGTATTGAGTTTTATAACTTCTTTCTATATTTTAGATACTAACCTTTTATCATATATGTCGTTTACAAATATCTTCTCCCCTTCTGTCGGTTGCCTTTTTAGTTTTGCTCATTGTTTCCTTCTCTGTACAGAAACTTCTTATTCTGATGCAGTCCCAATAGTTTATTTTTGTTTTCATTTACCTTGCTTCAGGAGACATAGCTAGAAAAAAAGTTGCTATGGCTGGTGTCAAAGAAGTTACTGTCTGTGTCCTAGGATTTTTATAGTTTGTCTCACATTTAGGTCTTTAATCCATTTTGAGTTTATTTTTTGTGTGTGGCTTTTTATTTAGCTAATTTTCTTTCTCTGTCTCTGGTCTCTCTCCCTCTGTCTGTGCCACTAGAGTCTAAGGGCCTGGGTACAGAGTGCCATTTGCATTTGCCTTTGAATTCTTTGTTTTGAGCATCCTGCCTGGCAAAGAGCAGGCTCTCAGCCTTGGAACAACAGAGTCTGTGCCTTCAAGGGCCCCGTGGTCCAGTCTGGCACCTCTTTTTCAAAGCAGCATTGACAAATGGCAATGGCTTTCCATTCGAGCCCACGTTTGTTAACGCTGCTTTTAACACAAGGTGCCAGCATGTTATCCTGACACCTGCCCCACCATAAAGACAAAACAGAGTCCTCACCACAAAAACAAGGGCCAGCCTGTGATAAGGCCTTGTGTCCAGGGAGGGAGCCGCAGGAAAGGGGACTCAAAAACTTGACAGGTAGGTTGAGGATGAAGAGAGATCTTCAAATTTCGAGTTATTTATATCCTTCCCCCGAGTCTCTCCCTAGCAGTGACTGGAGTCAGCCATGGCTGCCCTGCCTTTAAATCAGTGATGGGGCTGCTGTTGACTTGTGGGAGCAGATCTGAGCTACTCCATAATTTAACCGGTCTGTCAGGTGTTGCCAGTAGCTGCAAATTAATCAAGGTGACACCCCCTCCCCCGCCCCCCTTATGGTACCATACTTGCTGCCAGGATTTACTGGCTATGGCTGTTCTGTGTTAGTGTGCTTCTTGGAGTGCGATGGTCCTGGGGGTGGTTATTTATTTTCGGGAGGTGGCCTTCTCACAGGAGCTCATCCATCGCCGTGTCAGGTCAGCCTTGTCCACCAGCTGCCGCAGCTGCCACAGGCATCCTGCCAGCCGAGCACTGCGGGCGCAGAGTGGCTTTCTCTGCTTCCTCTAATTCCCCATCCCTTTCCCTGCCATGTGCATTTCCATGATAAATCACCCTAGAAAGATTTTCAATGCGTTTTGACAGGATAAAACTGTGATTCGGCTTGATCTCGTTAAGAGCCCCATAGCCAAATCCCTCCGAAGCACAGAGGACAAGGAAAGCTTGCTAACTGTGGATGGCTTGTCTTTGTAGCTGAGAGGGAGATGCAGAAAGACCTTAATTGACATGGCCGACTTCCTGCCCTTGACCTCAAGGAAAGAGGGATATTTGCTGCAGGTGCTCATTTGTGGAGTCCCTGTGGAAGTGAAGCGTAAGCCAGTGAAGGCATTCCAGTAAGCAGAAGCACCCAGGCTTCTACAGAATGTACTAGCTCTTTTCATTCATTCACTCATTCACTCACCCATTCTACAAATACGTGAGCGCTAAATGTAATAGACACTGTGCTAAATAATGAATGAGATGAAAATCCATGCCACTGCATAGCTCACAGTGTGGTGGGGAAGAGAGATATGCAGATGGATAATTGTATATCACTATGTGGAATGCAGTGGTATTAAAAAGCACCAGGTGTTATAGTGAGCAAGGACCATCAGGCTCTATCTTGGAGGAGTGGTGAGGAGGATGAGCTTCCTGGTGGAAGTGATGCGGAGACTGGTTTCATAGGATGAACAGGTGTGAGCAAGGTAGATT